AAATGGCATTTAGATCATTGAAGGAGGTGTAATAGATATACCTGTATATGGTGCCTGTGAACAAGAGTACGCAGAGGGAACAAGGGTCCAAGAGAGAAGGTGAAAGTCGGTCTGATCTCCGGGTCTCTCTGTTACAAATTAAACCTCTTTTCAAACTTGTTAGCTGTGACTCCCATTATCCCTGCAGTACTGATCCCAGTGGCTCCAGTCCACCCAGCTGGGTGAACGAGGAGCAGCAATATCCCAGCGATTGGATCACGGGATTATACAAGTACTCACGACAATGGACTGTTGTTAAATTTGCTGTCCCCCATCAGCAAAGCACCGCTCCGCACAGCTCTGAGCTCTGCTGTCTTTTGATTAATTTATTTTGTTGCTTTAATCATAATCATCACACCTTTTTTTTAAAAACCAGCAACTTGGGCCTGAGCGGGTTGGGGGGGGTTGTTACCAATATAAATGTGTTCATTTTAAGATGCTCTGACTTGTGATCTAAAAATAAACATCTTGAGAGTTCCACAGTATATATATACACAGCCAGGCTCCACTATATCAGATGAAGACCTGCTGTTGAGATCTCACCAGTCTCTTCTCGGCACAGCTCCCTGTAAGGTATGTAACGCACCAAGAGCTGATTTATTTTGAAAACTATGTAAGGAAAATTGCTTTGTTCTCTAATGTTTTTTTAATTGCAGTTTTTTGTAAAACAATTGTAATTGAGGGTCTGTCCTTCAATAACACAGTAGATGTTTCAATATTGACTGTATTCAGGAAGCATCAGCAGTCTGGAGTATATGACTTGGAGCATCACTATTGTTACATACTGGAACAGTATCTGATCTGTATCTGTGACACAGTGGTTAGCATTGCTGCCTCACAGCGCTGGGTTACGGGTTCGATTCTGGACCTGGGGTGCAATCTGTGTGGAGTCTGCATGTTCCCACCAAGTTCGCATAGGTTTCCTCCAGGTGTTCTGGTTTCTTCCCACAAGCCAAAGGCATGCTGGGATTTTAAAGGGCTTTTGGGAAAGCCACGGTGGTGAGTGTGCCCTGTGAAGGACTAGTGTCCCGTCCAGGGTGCATCCGGTTTGCTCCCCCTGCGACCCTGCATTGGATAAAGAGCTTAGAAAATGAATGGAGGGATCAGAACAAAATAAAAAAAACAGCCAATTAACAAAACAACCGAGTCAAAACATAGATGTTCAAGTAGGCAGTTGTGTCAGCATGCATAGGCTGCAAGAGAACAAGTAAAGGTTTATTCCCTGCTGAAAAGAGAAGGAAAGAAACACAGCATTTTGGCTGTGGAGCCTTCTTCAGAGGGTGAAAATTAAAACACAGATATGCACAAGACAGAATTTGAGCACATTTGGCAGATCATTTCAATACAGATCAATGGTGCCCCAGTCATATGTTTGGAGTTTAGCATGTGTTGCGAGATCTCCATTTCACATGACTAATCAATCGAACCCAGTCTGCCTTGGCACATGCAAACTATTAGAAGAATTTTACTATCTGCATCGGGGATATGTATTACATGAAATGCACACATCACATCCAATATAGTAATTGCTGGATTGAAGGTATTGATCTTCGTTTTTAAACCATCAGTGGAAGATGTCTAATTGACAAATTTAATATGATTTTGTCCCTCGCTTCAACATACTGATCCCTGAGGACAGATCTGTGAAATTGATTCACTGCGCACTACTGGTAGGTAAGGCAGCTCTGTGCTTTTGTAATAGGGCAAAGTGGCCACAAACGAGCGCCTGTCACTGCAAGGATGTGCAGACAGCTAATCAAGGTTCAGAACATTAACAGTCTGTTTCTTGTAGAAGTTCTAGCTTAGTAGCAGGTCTACATTGGTGCATTTACTATCCACTTCATCCAATTCAAGGTCGCCGCGGAGCCAGGGCCTAAACTGGCATACAACGGGCACAAGGCAGGGTATTCCCTGGCTGGGATCCCAGTCCATTGCAAGGAACACACAGACACACACTCACACAAGGGCCGATTTTCCCACTAGCCAGTTAACGTACCAGCACGTGTGTGGACTGGTAATCGGACAGTTTGGAGGAAATGGAGCACCCAACAGGAAACCCACGCAAACATGGGGAGATCATACAAATTCCTCGCAGACCGCACCCCAGGACAGGGACACAGGGCTCCAGCAGAGCGAGGCAGCAGTGCTCACCACTGCGCCATCACGCCGCCCCCAGACCTCCACCCATCTTCACTGAAGTCTAGTCACAGGTTCAAAAACCCTTCTCTCTTTTTGACACCACATACTGTACTGAACTATTGTGGAAATATTTTCTTGTTGTCCAGATCGTTCCCGTGCCGTACAGGATGTGGCAATTTCTTCTGCTGTTTTGGGCCCTTTCTCTCTCTTCTCGGCCGGGCACCTTCGCCAGAGATTTCGTGGGCACACCCGCCGAGTGCAAGACGGCCGAATTTGTGCCCGGCTACAACCTGGCGGGCGAGGGCTTTGACATCGTAACGATGCAGCGGAAGGGGGCCTACGTGGTCAACATGGAAGACTGGAAGAAGCCCAAAGGCTCCTGCAACCTGAGGCAGAACCGATACCTAAAGGGGAAGAAGCAGAAGATCCCCTTGGCCATAGTGGACTGGAGAACCCTCCCCAACTGCAAGAGGCAACTCTCCAGCACCATCTATGAGTCCAGCGAATCCCTTGTGAACGACAGCACCTCCAGCGTGGAAAACAACTGGAAAACTGGCCTGGATCTCAACGTCAACCCCAACGTCCAAGTAGGGGCGACTCTTGGGGGCACCCACTCCCGGGACGCCACTTACGCCATGCAGAAGTCGAAGCAAGACAAATACAGCTTCACCAGCCATGAGGTCCACTGCAAATTCTACAGGTACAGAGCAGCAACATTGGCAAAGGTTTCCCTCTTTTCTGACCTTCCAGAGTCTGTATATCATTCCCACACAACTAATCATGAGGCACAAATCATTTATTTCATTAGAATTATTTCTGTATATGTCAGTCAAGAAATATTAGTTAGATTGGACATCTGATGAAATAAAGAACAAGAGATGATCAGCTTTTAAGAGAGCTAGACATTTCTGATGGAAAAGCCAGCAATAATGATTCGGGGATCTTATCTCAAAGTGAATGTTTATTACCAGGCAGAGATGTGGTTTACTTTCTTTAAAACACCGCAGTCACAATATGGTTTCAGAAGGAAGAACAAAAACCCATTACCGCATGTCAAAGCGCTGAAGCTCGTTCATGACATGGACCTGTACCCAAACATGCAAGTTTTTCAACTGCGTGGAGGACAAACAAAAAAAATATTGTGTCCATGTAAATAGTCCATCCGATAGTTCATCCATGCTGATACTACAAAAACATTTTCAACCTGTATCATGTAGTGTAAGGTGGGTGCATTCAGAATTGCATAATAGGATCTTCTATATTTTCAGAAATATTAACTTGAAAACATTTTTTAAAAGTTTCATATTCTTATCTTCAAAAATATGCATTTTATGTGAGTGCATTTTGGTTTAAGACATCTTTGGGAAGTGAAAACAATATAGCATGGGTGTTTTCTACCCTGAAATAAATGCATCAAAAAGACAGACAGCTGTGAAAACTGTGTTGATGTAGGTATACATTTACCTGAATGTATGGTATTTCTAGGTATCATGGCAGAATTCTTTGAAGGACAGCATGGGACATAATGAAAGCTTCAGCTGTTAGCTATACTTGACTCCTTTTAAACAAGATACAATGTAGTGATCTGAGAAATTATTGTTTCCTCACAAGTTCTATTCTGTTCCTAGTTTAAATAATAATGTTAATTTATATATATGGAACTATATCTCACTTTTTGATATCTTTGTATTTGAAGAAATATTATAATGGAAAGATGTCACATTTAAAACTACAAACTTGGAGTAGCAGTTAATTAAATGTTACTTGAGCAGTAGGTAAAATCTGAGGCAGTAAACAGGAGTTCATGTTCTCTGACACAGCTCTGGTGAGATAGTAACAAAATCACAGAGTCAACACTCGAAAAAGAAGAATCAATACTAATTAACTACAAAATAACACAAATAAGAAACACATTCCGTATAACACAAATTATACTGTACATAATTTGCAGAATTACACACACTGTATATTCAAGCAAGTTTCTGTGCTTCAGAGACGTACATCCTGCAGTCCCAGAAACCATAGCTCTGGATCCGGCAACACAGTACAACACTTGAACACTCAAGCTGAAAACAAACTGCACTGAATAAATACTAAATGAAAATGGCTTGGAATTTAAACTCCCTGCCAGTAACATGGAAGTTCCCAAAGTGAATGGGAGTCAACGTTTCTGTCCTGAAAATGCATCGTCAAACTAGTAGAGAATGTTTTTAGCCTGAGGATTCCATAACACAGGAAAACAGAATTTCCTCAAATAAATAGGACAGCAAACTCTCTGTAACAAGGTAACACCTGGATTGTAATGCTAACATACAAAGAATCCTATAAAATGCTTGCAAAATGTCCATTTCAGGTGACTGAATGCAAAATAAAATAACATATAAAGGGAAAGATTTTTAGGCCCTGTGAAACTTTCTGAAGAAAAACTTCCAGGTAAATCTTCCAGGTCAAACCATGCTCAACTCAATTTCATTTCTTTCACTGTTTGCATTTTCCAGGTATAGGCTGGTTACAAAGCCGCCAGTCCACACTGAGTTCCTCGAGTCCCTCAAGATGCTCCCCCGGAGTTACACCTCTGACACGAAGGAGCAGTACCGCGGTCTGATCAACATTTATGGCACCCACTTCATCAGGCAAGTCAGTCTGGGAGGGAAGGTGAAGAGCATCACCTCCATCAAGTCCTGCCAAGCCACCATGAACGGGCTGACGGACACGGCGGTGAAGGACTGTCTTGATGTGGAGGCCTCTGCCACTGTTGGGATGGTTGCCACGGTGAAGACTGAGTTCCATCGCTGTGAAAGTCTGAAGAAGAAAATGAACTTGGCGCAGAGCTTTGGCAGCATGTTCAGCGACCGCCAGACCGAAATCACCGGAGGGCAGATCGACTCAGCCGATCTCTTCTTTTCTGGGGCGTCGGATCCCAGCGCGTACAAGCAGTGGCTCGAAACCTTGAAGACCATCCCGGATGTGGTGTCCTACTCTCTGGAGCCCCTTCACAAGCTGATGCCTCCCAACGACCCCAGGGCGAGACAGCTACAGCGGGCGCTGGGAGACTACGTCCTAGAGAACGCCCTCTTGAAGAAGTGCTCGGAGCCGTGCCAGGTGGGGGACAGGGTGAGTGCCAGGGACTGCTGCGCTTGCGTCTGCAAAGGCAACAACAACGTCAAGTCCAACTGCTGCCCGGCGGGGAAGGGCCTGGCGCAGCTGCAGGTGTACGGGCTCGAGGCAAAGCAACTGTACGGAGACCGAGGGACCAAAACCGACGGTTCTGTTAAAGTTACGTTTGGTGAGAAGTCAAGACGGACTGAAGTTATTAATGAAAACGACAATCCTGTTTGGCCTGAAAAATTTGAGTTTGGAAACATTGTGATAAACATGGCGACTAAACTCCAGGTTGAAGTCTTCGATGCCGATAGCAGATGGAACAGCGACCTGCTGGGAGAGTGCTCGTTTGCTCTGAAGAGTGGAACCAATAAGAATGTGTGCTATTTTAAGCACGGCACCTTCTTTTTCTCCTATACAGTGGAGTGCGCCCCCAGCCTGGGTGGCCCACAGTGCAATGAGTACATCCCCTCTCCCATGAGTCCCAGCCTGGCAACGAAGTTCCACTCGAGGAACGGAGTTCTGGCCTCGGAGAGCTGGGTGCCAGAGTTCCGTAAAAATCAAGCCAAGAGCCGTAATCTGAAATGCAACTCCAGCGCCAGCCACGAGGAAGAGATCGGGTACAGTATGTCCCAAGGTTAGATCCCAGGAGGCTTCCAAGAGGAAAGGGCCACCTCCACGCTTCGCTTCCTTGTCCTTATCCAGCTCACAGTACACTGGAGACACTGCTAGGTTCAGCACTTTGAATGCACCTCCTCAGGTTTCATCATCTCGGATTTCTTCAAATTAAAGTCCAGATGAAGTGCATCATCATGAACATCATCATAAACCCCACATGAAAATAATCCAAAAAGGGTAACAGTTAATATACACGGTTTTCGTTAAGGACTCTTCCTCATTTGAAATGGACACAGACTCCAATGTTTAATACAGTCTGTTCATGAGAATTTTGTGGTGTTTGACACCCCATTAGGGGAAACAAAGGCATTAAAACCCATTTGTTGTTTGCTATAAAGTTGCAAGTTAAGTTTGTAAGTGGAAAAGGTCTACTGAACATAAAAAGAACAATAAAAGATTGTAATTGCAATCAAGAAAATATTATAATACAACATTTCCTAGATTAAAATACGAGTTTTATGCAATTGCACAGAAGTCTTTTTATAATGTTTCCTCAAAACTACTGTTAGAAAATGGATATACAGCAGTGGTACAACTACACTGTTCCAGTCTCATTTTGCAGACAATATCAAATCGTATATAATATAATATTGAAACCAATTCTCTCTGTACAGACTGTCCGCCTACACAGTGACCACAGAGCCTCTGCCCTGGAGGTCAAGGGTACTTATCCACTAAGATTAAAACTGTTTTTATACTCCCCGGGTTTATTCGGTTGTAATAATGATTTGCATTTACAGTACTGTTTAAAGCTCTTTTCATCTCATCAGATTCAAATGTGCTTTGTATATAGGAAGGGACCAAATGAGAAATGACCCCATTAAGTGAATGAAAGGGAAAGTTTAGGCAGTCAGACACAGAATTGAATTTAGCCAGAGGACCTGGGCTAACAGAGTCATCTTTAATCACCAGTTAGTCAGAACCACGTTTTAACATCCCATCCAAAGTGCAGCAAATCACATAGTACTTAGACCCCTTTACTGTTTACTGATTTGAAAAGACTGCTCTAGGGGGAGTGGGCATGAGCGCCACCTACTGGTCCACCAATGCCACCAGCACCCTGGTATCCATCCCAGTACTGATCAGCCCATGCATGCCTGCCTTCTGGTACAGGCTGTGGGAGGAACGAGACACTAGTGTTGCAATGACTCCTTCCACTGCTGTCGTGTGGCAGAAGAACAGGACTGTTTTTTTTTTTTTGCATTTTGCTGCATGAGCTATATGTCTTAAGATACACAATAAAGCATTTTAAAATGACACCATTCCGCTGTGTCCACATTTCTTTCAGTAAAGGATATTACTTCAGAAAAGGTGGATTCCAGAGTAAAGAAACACAGAAATCAAGTTGGGAATCGAGCTGCAGTCATATCACTAGCCTGATGTGTCTGGGACTTGCCAAGCAGTACCGTACAATAGACTTGAGTCAGTGCAGACAGTAGGGTTTGGTTACTGGACACTGAGGACTTGAGTCAGTGCAGACAGTAGGGTTTGGTTACTGGACACTGAGGACTTGAGTCAGTGCAGACAGTAGGGTTTGGTATGGGGTTGGGTTAGTGGACAATGAAGACTTGAAGCAGTGCTGACAGTAGGGTTTGGTTACTAGACTTGAAGCACAGCGAGTGCAACATATGACGTCAGCCCTCACCCAGTCCTCCCAGAAGGTGGGTGCTGAAAGGAGCACAGTGCAAGTGAAAACAGTGAATTAAAGAGGCCAGGGCTTGACTGGTGAGGATATCTGCTTGGTTAAAGGGGATAAGTGTAGAGACAGGCAGTTCTGAGACAGGGTTGCAGCCTCTGCACTGTCTCCCTAGTCAAGACCAGATTGCCATTTTCAAGGCACCTTGAAACCCAGTCTCCTACGACTGACATCCGTTACAGCAGAACTCCAGTCTCCTGCCACTTACTGCAGGCTAACGGGAGTCCAGGCAGAGACATTCCCTCAGCAGCCCCATCTTACCCTGAGTGCTGTTTCACCTACAGCCCACTATCAATAGAGCCAGTCAGTCCCCTGCCTGCTAACATCCCCAGAGTTTAGGAGACATTTATTAGTTAAGACATCTTGAAGGCCTGGTGTGTGACCTGAGCTTAAAGACAAGATTGTAAAAACAAAACACAGTGTGGGCAGGTGGTGTCCGCATTTGTTTAAAGCCCAAGCTGGAAAGCTGAATTATTCTGCAGCATTACAGGTCTGCATGCATGAACCGAGGTCAAAGTGGAGGTCACTTTTGGTCAAAGCTTTGTTTACTGGGCCTGGCTTTGGGAGCTCTGGCAGGAAACGGGGGCTGACTCAGCCCTCACACCCCAGCGATGTGAGGGCTACAGCTCTCACCCGCAGGAGAGCCGACCCCAACCCGGAGCCACAGGAGGAGGTCTCACGCCCGGCTCGTCTTCCTCTCCGTCCCCAGGCGGAGACACAAGGTCACACCTCAGCCCCGCAGCGCTGGCCATGGACCAAGACCCATGAGTCCATGGCCAGAAGGACAGGAAGATCTCAAATCAATCAATGGGTTGTTTTCTTATATCATGTCTTTCAATCCAGAGCACTCTTCAGACAGTTGACTTTTAAGGCTTACAATTAAAGAACAGTACATCACCGTTATCTAGAAACTGCTGATCTGATTCCATTCCTTCAGCACTGAGGGCTCATTCTGAACTGAAGCCAATTGCTTTATACCAGTCTGATGCAGCATGTCAATCAAATTCAACTCCCATAGTCAGTAGCATCCCAATAGAGCTGCCTGCCAAAAAATACAAGGCACCTAGGGACATGAAGCACCAGACTGTGGACCAAAGCATGAACTGGCTTGTTAAATTTTAAAATCGGACACAGGAATCTTTCTCTTTTGCCCCCAGCCAAAAGCATCTACCGTACTTTCTCCTTAACACATTTCTCTCTCTTGTGTCCTCCCCTCTGCTTCCACTTGCTCACTGCAGAGTGAAAACCAGTGGTTTTCGCATTCATGCGAGACGAGGTGTGAAAACCAGTCTTCAGAAGAACGCTGCCCACCAAGACAGCTGACTTCTTGTAAGAAGAGCCACACACCACATGAGACCCTGAGACATGTAGCCATGGTTCCGGTTAGTCACCTTTCCTGTCAGAATGATCACGAACACTGCTGCCTAATCTAGCCAGTGTAGCACCCAGGCTGCTAAACTCTCAATATACAACGCAGTGGAGTCAATTTAGATACCCACTGCCGTAGTTTAATCCCGATTAAATAAAGGCACATACAGTACGTACCCAGGAAAAACAGAAAAGAGGGGAAGAATAGTTATAAAGTTCTGTCTGATATGACATTAAGATATGACTCATAATGTGGAGATATGGTGGCTCTGCAGTCAGTGTTGCTGCTTCACAGCACTGGGGCCCTGGGTTCGATTCCAAACCTGGGGTGCTACACATCCAGGCTGCTCCATTTTTCTCCCACGGTGCAAAGACAGGCTGGTGGGTTCACTGGAAGATGGTCCTTAGCGCAAGTGTGTGTGTCTATGTCTACGTCCGTGTCTGTGTGCCCTGCCTTGAGCCTGTTGCTTGCTGGTATAGAGCTCCCCTGCAGCGTAAGAAGTAGTGAGGAAATGGATGATGAATGGATATGAATCATAACAGTCTTAAAGACAGAATGAGAGATGTACATTGCCAATCAAATATTATATTTTAGTGTCCCCAATGAATTTCTATTACACATACAGCCCTACTGTGCATGTGATACAGACATAGAATCTGTCAAAGAGTATATGACATGTCAGCCAGAGGTCACCATGTGTCTAAACATGGGGCTTTTCCCCAACTTGTTGGAAGACAGTTGTCCTGACCAATTCCCCCCCACATAATATTCTAGATCTATTAGACTTCAAAAACCACAGTGGAGAAAAATGTCAGCATTTTTTTAAGTGGTCTATGGAAGCTTGTGAGAGCCCTGCCTTGATCAGCAGGCTGTGGTGTCCCAGGGGGAGGTGACCCCACACTGGGCATGGACAGGCTCCCTTTCACCCCCCATCACACCCCTTGAGGAGCTCTTCTGGGTTCCTTTTCTTCCTCTTACACCCTCTCTCCTCCCAGAGTGGCGATCACACCGACCCCCTCACTGGGGTAACAGGACACATTAGTGCACATCCTGGGCTCTTTGTCTTCACAATTCCAGGTTCATTCTGTTGTCCTCACTGCTAGGAGCCTCCTGCTCTCACTTCATAAGGCTGCTGCTCCACACACAACCAGTGCCCCAGACTCCTCTTCCCAACACCACCTGAATGGGTACACACACACACTACATCACCGAGTCTCTTTGGCACTACACACCATGCCGAGACCCAACACACTGTCCCTCTCTAACAGTCTCTACCGCCTCACTCTCACACCCTTAGGCTGTGAACTCACAGCTGCCAGTACGCCTCATATCATGCACAGTCACCACCACACTATCTCCCAGAGGGTGTAGCTAGCTAGACCCCACTCACTTCCCCAATACCCAATACCCCCCTACCACACACACACCAACTCACAACTCGCTCATACAGAGGACACGACAGCCCTGCTCTCACAGCCTAGCGGGACGCGGCCCCTTTAAACCTTTCAGCGAGCTCACAAAGCTCCGTTTCCCCTGTCAGTCTCCTCCCAAACTGACGTTTTCACTCTTTTCCTCGCAGACTATTCCTCTCACAACCCCCTCCGGAACTGTCGTTCTCCTCCACCCGCTCACGGGGTTGTTACTACAGCGAGCTGATCAAGTCCTTGTTCACTCATTCGCCCCGACTAGTAGCGTTTCACACCCGCTACCGGCATACTTCAGCCCGGCTCTCTCGCCACTGCAGCCACACCCAAACTGGGGTCCCGCTGCATCCGCCCCTGTAGGCAGTCTTCAGGCTGGTTTTAAACCCCTTCTCCACCTGCCGTTCATTCCGCTTACTCACGTCAGGTGTGGTTTCCACGGCAACGCGTCTCCCTTAAACCGGGGCTCCGCCCCCCTCCCCCCCAAACCAGACACTCCCTGCATTGCACCACAAGGCCTTATAATTCGTCCTTAAACAATAATAGGCTTGAATCGTGTCTTAAACCAGCTTTGAACAGGGCTCCAGGGCTGGAGACCTGGGGTGGTGACTCCATCAACCCTGCAATCACACACCAGGATAAAAACAATGTCATTATGTTCATTCTGAACAGGTTTACCTGCCAGGCGACGGTGAAAACGGCCTGGCTAAGGTGTTGTTCTCTTGTTGGTAGAACACAATCAATCCTTATCATGCCATCCTGTTTACAACGTTGTAGCTTTCTGACTGGCAATTAATTTTCTTATTAAGAAATATTACAGTAACGCTTAAAAACAGAACAGTGGTGTGATTAAGAAAACAGTAAAAATAGTTAGGGCTACATACAGTACTATTTTCAGAAGCGCATTGCTGCTACCAGGGAAAAACATTAAATGTGTTTCATGTAATTACATTATATGATAGTTGATCATTATGTCATTATGTGATAGTACTTTATCATGTCATTATGTGATGCCAGTTATAATCTGAGTGTATGAAAGTGGCACGTTCTGTAAACCATCACAGTACCTCCTCCGGTAGAGTCTCGTTTAGTATTCGTGAGTGTCCCAATGCTTGTAACGATTCTGTTCATGTGAGCTGGAAAGTGTAACATTTCATCGTAGGACTGGGAGCTGTTCTGGTTCTGAGAGGTGTGGGAACTCAGGGATCAGTTTCTATGTCCAGGCTTTTCTATGTCCAGGCTGTGGTCACTGAGCCTGTCCTCTCAGAACAGCCAAGTCTGTCTGTGTCCAGTTTCTATCTCCAAGATGTGGTCACTGAGACTGTCCTCTCAGAACAGCCTCTCACGTCTCATGTCTGTGTCCAGTTTGACCAAGCTGTGGTCAGTGAGTCTGAACTTCCTCAGGGACTGTTTCTCACTGTTTTTACCCTGGTCAGATGTGTGTGTTGGTCAGCCTGTAGGTGTGCGTTGTCCTCCAGGCTTCTCTTGTTTGCAGTGGAAACTCTCTCCTCCGCCTGCTGCGGAAGATCAGCGGACGCACTTAAGTGCGAATTTTAAAGCAGCCCTCGATAGAGTCGTGTGTAACTGCCGCCACCCAGTGGCCATGTATCGGAAGTGTCACACTCTATCTACTGCTTAGACGGTTAAATCGACGAAAACATGTAATTCCCGTTGATCAAATACAGCGCGGTTTTCTTACGCTTTCATCTTAATGTACAAAGCTTTCTGTAAAAAAAGATTTTCTCGAAGGTAAAACTTTTATTATTTTCATCATTTTAAATATCTGGCATGTCATCAGAAGTCGTCCCCAGTCTACACTGCGGACCGTAACAACATGGTTGCCTGGTGGCCGTTTCCTTCTACCTATCTTGTCTGTTTTGAAATATCTATGGACTAGCAATTCTGTCTCGTGAACGGAGTTGGCAGACGAGAGCAGAAGCCAATCCGATGTCGGAGATTGATGTAAACCCGAATATGATTGGTCCAGCGGCGGGGCTAAAGTGTGATTGACAGCCCCCCGGTCTCGTTACGAGAGGACGCGAGTCTGACGTATTTCCGGTGCTCTGTGAAGTTTCCTGCAGAGCGGTGTCGCCGGAGAAGGTGAAAGAAAAGGTGATGAGACTTGCTGTATTTATTTTTGCATCGGATTTCTTGTGCTTTTAATGCAATCGCAAAGAGAGGCGAGGGGTCAAGCTGCATGAGCTACACGAAAGCGGGTGCGTTTATAAAGTTTGATAGCTCTCTTCTGTAAGTAGTGCTGATAAGCATTCCTGTAGCGGGTTAATTGCGCGGATAATTATCTAATTCGTTATGGGTTTTTTTTCGCACGCTTGGTTCTGGTTCGGTGACGTGTGATATCAGTGCACTGCTGGGTCTGGTCTGATTCGGTTACACAAGTCTGTTACCAAACCCAGACTCACGTGGGTATTGTTATGAAACCTGTTCCTGTTAGATAATTTAGCTCAAAGACGACAGCGGTCTCCTGGAGTCGCTGAAGGTAACTGCATACAGGTGAACTTCTTCTCTCTCAGTAGACTGGTATTCGTGAGCTTGTCTTTCTCTCTGGTGTCTTTATTTCTGTCTGTCTCACTGGCTGTAGGCTGGTATTGATGAACTTGTCTGTCTCTCA